TGGTCAAGCATTGGAACAGGCTGCCCAGAGAGGTGGTGGAGTCCCCATCCCTGGAGGTGTTCAAAAAACAGGCAGACGTGGCACTCTGGGACATGGTTTAGTGGGCATGGGGGTGTTGGGTTGATGGTTGGACTGATGATCTTACAATTACAGGTCCTTTCCAACCTTAATGATTCTGTTCTAGTTTTAATTTCATTAAAAAAAAAAATGCAGCCACCAAGCCAGGAAACAAAATTATTCTCTCCCCTGTCTAGCTGAGAAGGGGAGTGACAGCGGCTTTGGGGGGCACTTGGCATCCAGCCACGCTCAAACCACCACAGTCCTTTTTGGCGCCCAAAGTGGGGCATGAGCAATTCGCAATAACGATAGTAATTGGGAGAGGTAACGGGCAAAACATGGACTGCACAATGTAAGAGAACAGAATGATCATGGGGATTTTTGGTTGTTATTATTGTGGTGAAGGGATGAGGGGTGGATTTTGTGATATATATGGATTTTAATTGTAATTCTTAAATATATGATTCACGGAGGCGAGGGGTGGAATGTCCTGGGTTTGTGTGGCAAGGTTTCGGTAGCAGGGGGGCTACAGGGGTGGCTTCTGTGAGAAGGTGCCAGAAGCTTCCCCTATGTCCAACAGAGCCGATGCCAGCCGGCTCCGAGACGGACCCACCGCTGTCCAAGGCTGAGCCCATCAGCGATGGTGGTAGTGCCTCTGTGATAACATATTTAAGAAGGGAAACAAACAAACAAACAAAAACACCAAAAAAACTCCCCAACCCGGGACACAAACTGCAGCTGGAGAGAGGAGTGAGCGTATGTGAGAGGAAGGACTCTGCAGACCCCCAGATCAGTGCAGAAGGAGGGCAGGAGGTGCTCCTGGTGCTGGAGCAGAGATTCCCCTGCACCCCTGGTGCAGCCTCTGGCGAGGCAGCTGTGCCCTGCACCCATGGGGGCCCACGGGGAGCAGAGATCCCCCTGCACCCGGGGAGGAGCCCACGCCGGAGCAGGGGATGTGCCCGGAGGAGGCTGTGACCCCGTGGGAAGCCCGCGCTGGAGCAGGCTCCTGGCAGGAGCTGTGGCCCCGTGGGGAGAGGAGCCCAGGCTGGAGCAGGTTTGCTGGCAGGGCTGGGGACCCCGCGGGGACCCACACTGGAGCAGGCTGCTCCTGAGGGGCTGCACCTGTGGGAGGGACCCACGCTGGAGCGGTTCGTGGAGAACTGCAGCCCATGGGAAGGACCCACGTTGGAGAAGTTCATGAAGAGCTGCACCCGTGGGAAGGACCCACGCTGGAGCAGTTCATGGAGGGCTGTCTGCCGTGGGAGGGACCCCACGCTGGAGCGCGAGGAGCCCCCTCCCCTGAGGAGGAAGGAGCAGCAGAGACAACCTGTGATGGACTGACCGCAGCCCCCATTTCCCATCCCCCTGCACTGCTCGGGGGAGGAGGGAGAGAAATTGGGGGTGAAGTTGAGCCCGGGAAGAAGGGATGGGTGGGTGGAAGGTGTTTTAAGATGTGGTTTTATTTCTCATTACCCTGCACATGTTCTCACTCCTCTCTCCTACTTCTATTCTATTCTAACCAAGCAGGAAACACCCTGATGTCCAAGGTGTTTAAAAAAAAAAAAAGGTTGTTCC